AAAAAGGTATATGCGTGTGTGTGTGTGTGTGTGTGTTTTTTTTTCCACAGGAACAAAACAATCTTTTGTAGGGCCACTAGATCTGGTAGAATCCATACGAGTGGCTTTAGATGGGGACGTATCTACTTGCAACAATAAATCTTCAGCTTCTATGCCTCAACACCCGGGTGATAAAGAGCAAGGGAACGTGATGTCAGTTAATATTGATTCAGACGTTAATGCCGAAAATAACGATAGAAGAAATGAAGATAGTAACGATATAAGGAAGCAAGAGGCTCGTAATGGTAGTGCTATGTAAGGTGATAAGTTTCTTATAAATGTTATCAATTAATAAAAGAGTTGTCGACTTAATACATTATCGATATTCATGTAATAGTGAATTGCAACATTATATCTACATTTGTAGTACATTTCTGTTTTTTTTTTTTTTTTTTTTTTTTTTATATAATTAACGAGTATCTGATATTACACTCACGCTGTGAATACCTACCTACTATAGAATGTTTCACATTAAACGTTACATTCGTTAGATTGAATATATTTTGAATTCTTAATTATGTTTTATCAAAATGATTAATTTTCAATTGATTATGTAATACAATGAGCGTGGCGGCATAAGAATCGTTAGCTGTTCACAGTCATGTACGTGTATTATTGATATAATAAATATGGCAAGTTAACGCTACGTATGAATGAGTAAGCATGTCCGTGTTGAATGATCGGGTCCTTTGAAATTGATCCACTGTTCCTCTTCGAATCCGATTAATATCCTTCCGTTTTGAGAGGGATACATTTCAATTGTGATAGGGTATCAAGTAGAATGTAAACGTATTCATACGTCATATGGAATGGAAGCATTATATTGGATTATTCGAAAATAGGAAATTTACGTGGAAACTTTGGATTTTCTGGGTGTAGCGATAAAGTCGAAGTTAATTTCATTGGATTTCAGTACTACTTTATTGTCACACGAACTTGTGCAATAAAAACTGTACAAAAGATATACTATAATAATTGTATACTATATAATCTCTTTTTTGTACTCTCTTTTTCTTTCAACGATCGTACGATTTTATCTACACGTACATGCATGCATGCATGCATGCATGCATATATACATGTGTGTGTGTGTGTGTATACATAGATAGATAGATAGATAGATAGATAGATAGATAGATAGATAGTCCATGTCGAGGAATATAATTTTAGTCCGTCGTACTGTCAACCAATATCAAATAGAAATCAATAGAAACTTGCGATGTGAAAGGAAAGCATTCGCAAAATTGATGCGCGCGTTTGTTTCGATTAACATTTTTACGTAGAACCAATGAACATTTTTTATAAGAAAATTAGCAATAAGATTTTTGAATCATATGGAGCTATTCTCAAAAGTAATGACGTAGAAATGAAGATTTTATTAACTTTGATTATACTTGCAAAGTACAAATAAATTAAATATGTTCGTTTTTGTTAATAAATTAAGGATCAACGAGTCATCGTGTACGAATCTAATGATGTGTATCCATCCTTTGGTTCTCGAGAAATAGAGACAATCAAAAGGAATTCTTATAGAATTGTCAAGGATATATTTCGTGTGTGATACGCGCAAATATATTCGATCAAAGGGGATATACTTTTCCTTTGATCAGGCCTCAGTTAGTAAACCATATCTTACACCGATATTGGTCAAACTTTGAGTGGCTGATACTCTAAGAACGGCAACTGCTACGGCTGCTATAATGACGGCACCTTCCAAGTATATGGCATAAAATACACGCACATAACCGTGCGTCGTCGAAAGTCCACCTGCCGCTGTGAAATCTAAAGGGAATAAGACGCTCGTCGCTAATGGTCTTGATCTGGCTATGCCGAAACATAAAACTCCGAGGATGTAATAAACACCTGTGCGTTCGCGTTATATGGAAAAAGAAAAAGAAGCCGCTTTAAAGGGCTCTTATACATTAATGACTATATATAGATATAGGTATGTATATGTATGCTTGATATTTCTCGATGGGCAAGTTATAAGGATCGATTGGCATTAGTTAGATTTTAAAGTTTCTACTTGTGCACTTACCGATACAAACAAAGGGAACGAGTTTGACCCACTTAGGTACTGTTGCCGGTGAACAACAAATATCCGCTGGATCCTGTTGTAAGTCCTTCTTATCGGACGTTTTTCTAATGGCATACTTTTGCAATCGGACTGCTAGCAAAATACCGACGTTCATTATTAGAAGAAAATGTGTTGGAATGCCAATGGCTGCAAATACAATCGCTACGGTACGGCCAGCATTCGTCCGAGGTACGGGTGCTCCAAAACCTATGAGAAAATCGATGCCTCAAAAGAAGTGCATCCTACGTCTCGATTTAAACGTTAAGTTAAACGGTAAGTCTCGTTAAAATCGATGAAAAATTAATGTTTTATATTACTTACGTGTCCTTATTGTCTTTGGTGGGAGATATTTGTTTGGGCGGTAGGAGAATCAATTAGAAGCATGTATTTAAACGTAGTTGCGAATGGGTAATGAAAAATGAATGCTATAGAACGTTATCATTGCCGTTATGCGAGCATCTAACGAGAGCACCGGACATGATTTAAGAGAAGCTGACAGCTCACCCAGAGTGGTGATAAGCGATACAGCGAAGAGCACGCAACCGGGGAAGGTCCAAAGCTGACCACCGTCGTTGGCTTCGCCATATCCAGAGTTTACAGCTGCGAGAAGAAGTTGCTCGTGTTTTGCAACATACTGACGCACCTTGTTACTCCATACGGGCTCCATATCTTCCTCTTTTTCCGTACGTAGCTGGCGTAATTCGGTGGCTAAGCCGACCGCCAGATCCTTCTGCATATCCTTCAATTCTACGACTTGTTCACGTTCGCGCGGTCCTTCCGTTGCGCAAAAGGCTGCGGCTCCTGCTATTGTCCATATGCTCAATAACCAGACGAGTCCTAAAGACGATTTCAATGCTTATCGTTTATTTCGATAAAAGAAAATTGAACTTTTCTATTTTACGCGTGGACACGCGCCTTACTACTAGACGAGTAATCCATATTTTATTTCTGATTTTTGCAACCTCCTCCTCTCTCTCTCTCTCTCTCCCTCCCCAAAGCGATCGATACGCGAAAACAATTGTAAAATAGTACTATTCAATAGTTATAGTTGACATGATTGTGCTCTTTTTTTCATCAAATTCGAATCCATAAAATTGGAAACAATTGCTTATCCTACCGAATTGAGAGAGCGATAGGCGTCCCAGAAATCTTATATGCTTCCAAATGATGAATGATTTGGAACTGGCAGACGCAGGATCATTTTCCTCGATGATATCCGCGAGAGACGGTAAGAATCTTAGCCGTAAAGGTATCCTTATTGCCGTTTGTAGCGCTACAGATCTCGTTGCTTTATTGCGATGCACGCTGTTTTGTAACCAAGACGGAACTTCCGATGTTACGGTCGAAGCTATATTCACAAAGAAAACGTTATGCGTGTACATGTAAAGATGTAAGAAAGAGTAATTATTACGCTCGTTACATTAAATGTTACGTCGCATTTAGATATTATAAAGTAACGCACGGGATACAAATGAAATCAAATTTACGCTTTGAGCTTGTAAAACTTAACTATTACAAAGTGGCAAAGCTTAGAAAGAATATATCTACCTACACAAGTGTGCGGTATGCGCGTGTCGAGGAGAAAGGTACCTTCGAGATTTTTTTTTAAAGAGACAATTTCCCATATATTTGCATACATCTATGTAACATATGCGTATACATGCTGGTATAGTTTACGCGATTAGTTACGCTGGCATACTTTATCGATTCTTTCGACGTAGGAGAGCTATGTGATAAGTATTATTGCAGTTTGTCGGATAAAATAAATTCTTAGTTGAATAGAATTATTTGAACGAAATTCGACGAAATTGCAAAAATTAATGGACACAATCCGGACGCAATATTATCAGATATGATGGGAATTATCTTGAAGGAAGCGTTTCTTTTCTTTTTTTCCTTTTTTTTATCTTATAAAATAATATAAATGCACGCATATCTTTTTGTAGTTTGCAATATTGACGTCTCTGTTAATAGCACCTGACGAAGTAGTAACGAGAATGTCATTCTTCTTGTCTCATAATAGCGATTAATTTTAAATCCAAGCATCAGAATTTTGTTTTATTTTTGATTTAGCTCATGAATAGCTTGGAAAATATAAAAAAGCTATATATATAAATCAATTGAGATACTTACCATCGGCGCAAGTAATAACGTCGTCGTCGTCGTCGTCGTCATCGTCGTCGTCGTCGTCGTCGTCGTCGTCGTCGTCGTCGTCGTCCTCTTCGTCTTCGTTCTTATCTCGAGGCTCGATCATTCTTACGCGAAATTCGGTGGTAACGTGACGTCGACTTGCCTCCTTCTTCGTAATCGTTGTTCTTTTCGGATGAACAAGGTTACGACGATGTCCTTTCCCGCGAACAACGGGAGTTTTTCCAAATTCCAAAGATGAAGCAGCATTTCCTGTGATGACTGCAGCATGTCGTTCTCCTTTCCGGTGCGTCACCACGTCGGACGAGGCGACGTCGCAGACGTCATTGATGGACGTTGCGGCGCCACCAAAGACCGGCGGTACCGGGAAAAGGGGAATGTCCATCGGAAAGAGTATGAAAAGCGATAGACGCGCCGCGATCGTGATCCAGCTCTTTCGACCACCTGTCGAACGAAACTTTCGCGCTACTCTTTCGGATCAATTAATCCCATTAATGGGACGAAGAGGCGCCCTTACTTTTTTTTTCTTTCCTTTCTTTTGTTTTTTTTTCTAGATCGATTAAACGCACGCGAAAACGTCTTTCGTAGGAAATTCGTTACTATCCGTTCCTTGTTTTACTTTCTCTCTCTTTCGTCTTCTCTTTGACGATACACATACGTACGATAGACAGAGTAAACCTCTGAATCTTTATGATATCGATCTAGGTTTGGCAAGCATTAATTGAACTATAAGGTAATTACCTGCTCGTGATACTCCCTATTCGCTAATACAATCACCAATCGCCGAAGCAACGCCGACAGATGGATTAGCAAACGCATAGGGAATTCTAACGTCTATTTAGCTTCATCCTAGTTTATACGCTACACTTGTGATAAACTTGTTTTAAATAGAGGAGTTTAACTTTCTGACAGAGCACTAAGTCGGACTAATTATATACTCTAATATCGTATCTATATATATAATAAGATCAACGGAGGAAGCTTTCGTTCGCGGCTACGAACGATTCGCGTTAACTACTGTCTTCAAATTGACTATCTGCTTGATAGTCAATAAAATTGAATTTCTATGCAATTTGGCGCGTAGCATTTCGCGTCCGTGAAAGGGGCGATAGCGTGTCGACTCTCCCGTTGGTTGGCCCACTAAAATTAGAATACAACCTTGGATCGATGTCGACTGCGTTAAACAACGTCGACCGTACCTAACACTTATAACGGCCGTCATTAATTTTACCGAATTAAGCGACTTCGAGAAAGAAACCTGATACGCATGTAAATGATATTAGAATGATAATTTTTTAGGATGTAGTTATTGTCACAGACGCAATAACAGGTATAGTTCTCTGCCAACAAATAGGTTGCACGTTCTCGTACTAGGCTATGCGATTCTCATTCGCATTGAGGCGCAAAAGATCTTTATGAAAGATGTAACAATCGTACGATGAACTTTTCCAAAATAAAGCAGTAGTAACAGCAGCGGCAGCGGCGGCGGCGGCGGCGGCGGCGGCGGCAGCGGCGGCGCGAAACGAATAATACGGCTGCGCCCGTCGGAATCGATCGATCCGCAATAGAGTGGCTCTGACCCTTACGGTTAACGTAGAGCAGTGAACGCAACGGAGGCTCTATGGATACATCCTTCTCGTAATATGAGATGTTGCGCTTTCCATCGCGATTTTTCTGACAGTGAGTCAAAAGAAGACGCGCGGAGGATTGTAGAGAGTCATGCGCGGTCCTCCACGAAGGTCAATTATCGTTTGGCTGACTCTAGCGTTCTTTTTACTTTTCGTTTGTCGATTATTGCTCGATCGCGGTTATCGTCTTCATTTACTCTCAATCGAGAACTCGAAAGAGCAATCCTATTCATTGTCCGTTAGGAAAAATCGGGCGCAATCATTGAATTATCGAGAAAATGTTCAAGGCGGAACGTCCGCGTATATCGCTGGCGCATACATGGCCGACCGGTCATCTGGAAATGGAAGTTCTTGCATCTGGTATTATGGCTTACCGCATTACCTCTCATATCCTTCCTCCAAGATAAGCTGGACACCGGAGATCGGCGAGAAGAGTCCGTATAGAGTACTGCCCTACGTTTTACGTGGCAGAGACGTCGACAAAGAGGATGCACCGCCGATAACTCTATGCACTCACGCGACGGCCGACCAAGTTTACGGCATCGTCGAACTCGCCCGCAGGTGGGAGGGACCATTGAGCCTGGCCGTTTTCGCGCCCGGCCTCGACGCCGGCCTGGCCGTCGCTCTGCTCGATCGTGCTTGTCGATGTGAAACAGCCATGTCCAAGGTTTCCTTTGGTCCTGCCTATCCGCCTCGTCGCCTAGTTTCCCATTACTCCATTTTTACGCCTCCAACCATGTCCCATTTCTAGTTATCACAAGCACGACTCCCATAGATTATACTCCCAAAGTAGACGCAGCTATCGAGAAAATAATATCGTGACGTGTGGCACTTTCCTTCGTTAGAAACTGTACCAACTATCGCGGTACATGCTACACGATCCAGGTGTATCTCTATACCAATCGAATCGTGCTTTAACAATTCAATCAGACGCAACCCGAACGAATGCACGCAGGTGGTGTCAATTAGCATGCAATTTTAGGCCCGGCTGCGGCCATTAATGCAACCTATAAAGCGAATATTTAATGACATCATGTCAATTTCATTTTTCAATAGGTATCCGTCCATTTAATATTTCCTGCGGGAAGAGTACCCTCGCTCGATCGACCGTATCAAGAGCAAGCCGATTGTACAGCGTCGGATTTACAATGGCGAGAAACGGAGACCGAAAGATGGAAGAGCGGCATGACGTATCCTATTAATGTTGCCAGAAATGTGGCTAGAACGTCGGCTAATACCGCTCGCGTTCTCGTGTCCGACATTGAACTGCTACCTAGTGAGAGATTAGCCTCTGGCTTTTTATCTATGGTCCATGGTAGACCGCCAAAACTTGGTGTCGTCTTTGTTCTACCAGTTTTCGAAATCGATGCGAATGAGCAGCCCCCATCGAATAAAAGGGAACTTCTCTCTGCGGCTAAAGCTGGCTTGGCTGTTTACTTTCATAGGTACGAAAGCGAATAAATGTTATCACTGATATCATATCGTATTGTAAATACGATATACTCGCAATAAATATCTAGTTATTTTAATTTTCTCGTATATCCTGCCGTATATCCTGCGCGTATCGCGTTATTACAATATCATCTACATTAGATTCCTGTGCCCGCATTGCCAAAGATTTCCGGGCTTAACCAGATGGATGGTAAGGACAGATCCAGGAAAGGTCAGACCTCTCATCATAACCCGTAGAGAGTATCCGCATCATAGATGGGAGCCCGTTTTCATAGGCATGCGAGAAGATCCACTTTATACAGAAAATATGTCTTGGGAAGGTAAACAGGACAAAATGGCTCAGGTATTTATTAAATATATTCCAATGATGTGGATTAATCCTGACGTATAATAAACGATACTATTTTTTTTTTTTTTCTTTTTTTTTCTTTCCCTTTCAGATGTTCGAGATGTGTCTCTTAAATTATCGTCTAGTCGTACTCGACGGTGCCTTTTTAGTACATACACCTGGAATTAAGCGCAAACCACAGATTATTAGTGCAGCGAGACAGGAATTTTTGCGTCCTCATGAAAAGAAAAATGCAAAACTTTATCAACGAGTCGTTAAGAGATTGCTCGCGCAATATCCAACGAATCGTAAATGCACCCAGTGATTGCATCGAAATATTCATTTTACAAATGAAATATTTAACAATGAGATATTTTTTAACGTTTGCGATACATCGTCGATCATAACGTTACATCTATCTTTATATAGCGCGCGTTGAAAAGTATTTTATCTCGGATCAATTAGATAGGAATAATATCATGCAATAAATCAATGATATCCTGAAATAATGAACAACTATTAAGAATACATTAACAATAGTTGATAAATAAAACGTTATGTGTATCTGCATCATGATAAGATCATAACTTCTATCCAATAAAATATCCTTCGTATCATTCGATTATTCCCCGTACAGGGATAAAACGTATTTAAAAACGTAAGAAACAAACTTTCCTGTACACGATTAGTGGATGCGCGGTATTTTTCTTTTCTAACTTTTTCTCTTTCCTATTTTTATCTGGAAGAAACAGAAACTTGTTGCGGGAATTGGGAAACGAAATGAAACATCGGATCACGCGTTAGTGTCCTTGCGTCGTATACTTAGTCTTACGTATGTTTAATTCACATTAGTTTCGCATTTGACTCCTCTTCTATGTCCAATGGCGCGCTCAATAAAAATTTATCTTTATCCTATAGGTTTATAATATAATATGAAGGGGAAGTTAGACGGACCGTAATTAACGAAGCGAGAACATGTCTGAACACGTCTCTGGCAAAGTATATGTGCGAACGAAGCCTATTGCATAATAACGCAATCAGTAAAATGGAACAGGAAGGAATCGTGTTAACGTTCTCGATCGTCCTTTGATCCTTTACATTTGCTTTTTTATAATCATAATATCATAAATTCTTCGAATTATATACAACATACATGCATATATATATACATATATGTATAAACGACGCACCAATCGCGATAGCTTTTTGTTTTTATAATTGCCCTTTCGATAACTATGGCCATTACCGACGAAAGTTTCCTTTTGTACTCCGACGAGGACACATTGAAACTCTCTCTTTCGTAAACTTATAAATAGTTAAAAAATTTTCGATGGTTTTGCAATCGTCAAGTATATACGACGAGATAAAATGGAACACGAGTAATTAACGAAGAATTATTAATATGAGCATAGTTAAAAGTATCGACATTCGAGCGAAAATAAAGATGGAAAATTCGAGAAATAAGTATATACGTCGTACTTTCAAAGGAGAAGCCAAAACGCCGATATTATTAACGTGGATATCTTTTAAACAAGACGGTGCAACGACTTGTAAACATACATGCGTGGAAATCGATTGATATAAAGAAGTACGTTAAAAAAGAATGTACGAATTAACGAGAAGAGGAACGATCTGTTGCGACTGATACAACGAAATAATTCCAAATGGTGGGATCACCAATAGCGCAAGCGCCATTGCAAATCCCACCCCGCGAAGTATGTAATTTTTCGATCTATCATACGAAAATATAAATAGAAACATCAAAAGCGATAATATGAAGAATTTAAAAATTATCTAAACTACTATACTATGTTAGCTTAAACTAAGAAATTTAATCAATTACAAATTGGACAGCTATGGAGATATAACTCAAAAAATACGAATAGAAATTTAAATAATTCATACTTTCTATAATTTTATAATTATTTAAATAATACGATATAATGAATATAAGGGATACAATGGATTAGTATTTAAATGATAGTGCATTCGCATTAATATTACATTGCTCGTAACACGCATAAAATATAAAATAACTTTAAATTAATATTAAATTCATTTCAATTAATGATCTCGGAGTTGTTGGTTAAATGTGATATCGATAAAAACTAACGAACTTTGACAAATATCGAAACAGTTTTCTTTTGCCTTTCGAAGGATAATCATCGAAATTTTCTCTTTCCCCAGTTACAGTTAAACTTAAATAAATCATTATTTCGATAATTTTAGAATTTTTTAAACAATTTGAAATATACGCGGATTATAACTAATTAGAATTTAAACATTACGTACCTCGAAACATAAATATTGTAAAAAGCAATGTAAATGAATATTTAAATAGTGGTAAATTTTCAATATAATATTATATGCTCTTCTTATGACGTGTTGGAATTGGAATAGTTTTCTTTCAGCGTGCGTCGATCGTTTAATGTCAACAAGAAGGACCTTTGAAAGGACAATGGGTTACCACGTCAGTATCTTTTCGTACGCCGAGGAGTAAACGTTGAAATGCACTCTCTCCGTACGCTTACATTTAATCATCTTATAGATACGATCATTATCTAAACAATGTACAATGTACAATTAACGCGAAATGCGATAATGCAAAATTTAAGCGATTGTACATCATAGCTCTTAAGACCTGTCCATAATGGAATATATATAATAGAATAAAGTAATATTTAACAATAGTACATTAGTTTAAATAATAAAAAAACGGGAAAGAGCGAAAAACTTATAATAATTTTAATATAAAACTCCCCTTACTTTAATAAATAATAATTTTAGTATCATTTTATATGCAACAAATTCTAAATTAATATTTTCAATAATTGTTCATATATTTAAACAATCTACAATGTACACGGAAGAGAATAAATTAATATTTAAACAATAGTAGATTCGATTAAACATTAAAAAGAAGGAATTGGGAGAAAAATTAAAAACAATTTTAATTTAAAATAACAATATTAACAATTTTCATCTAGTGATAGTTAAGCTAGCGTAATATAAAAATGAATGTTCCTTATCATAAATTTGAAGCGTTACACGGTTAGTTTTTCCTTGCACTATGACCTGTGCTCATCGCGATTATCTTTTCTAAACGCTAAAGCTTATAAATTAATATTTTCGGTAAGTGTATAATTATTTTTACGATTTTTATTGCAAGCGGGATAGAATAGAGTAATATTTAAACAATATTACATTTATATAAACATTAAAAAGTGTGAATCGCGCGCGAGACTTAAAATAATTTTAATATAAATTTCTATTACTTAAAATTTATAATTTCGCAGTAGTTACCTCGTGTAATATAAACATACACGCACTTTTTCACGACTTTGACAGTTCGCCAGTTAGTTTTCTCTCGCTGTTCGACATGTGCACATCGCGATTCTCTTTTCTAAACGCTAAAGCTTATAAATTAATATTTTCGGTAAGTGTATAATTATTTAAACGATATTTATTGCACGCGAGAAAGAATAGAGTAATATTTAAACAATAGTACATTTATTTAAACATTAAAAAGTCTGAATCGCGCGGGAGACTTAAAATAATTTCAATATAAATTTCTATTACTTTAAATTTTTAATTTCGGATTCGTTGCCTCGTGTAATATAAACATAAACGAACTTTTCACGACTTTGACGTTTTGCGAGTTAGTTTTCTCTCGCTCTTCGACATGTGCACATCGCGATTCTCTTTTCTAAACGCTAAAGCTTATAAATTAATATTTTTGGTAAGTGTATAATTATTTTAACACGCGGGACAATTTACATTTATATAAACATTAAAAAGTGTGAATCGCGCGCGAGACTTAAAATAATTTTAATATAAATTTCTATTACTTAAAATTTATAATTTCGCAGTAGTTACCTCGTGTAATATAAACTCTCGCTCTTCGACATGTGCACATCGCGATTCTCTTTTCTAAACGCTAAAGCTTATAAATTAATATTTTTGGTAAGTGTATAATTATTTTAACGATTTTTATTGCAAGCGGGATAGAATAGAGTAATATTTAAACAATATTACATTTATATAAACATTAAAAAGTGTGAATCGCGCGCGAGACTTAAAATAATTTTAATATAAATTTCTATTACTTAAAATTTATAATTTCGCAGTAGTTACCTCGTGTAATATAAACATACACGCACTTTTTCACGACTTTGACAGTTCGCCAGTTAGTTTTCTCTCGCTGTTCGACATGTGCACATCGCGATTCTCTTTTCTAAACGCTAAACGCTTATAAATTAATATTTTCGGTAAGTGTATAATTATTTAAACGATATTTATTGCACGCGAGAAAGAATAGAGTAATATTTAAACAATAGTACATTTATTTAAACATTAAAAAGTCTGAATCGCGCGGGAGACTAAAATAATTTCAATATAAATTTCTATTACTTTAAATTTTTAATTTCGGATTCGTTGCCTCGTGTAATATAAACATAAACGAACTTTTCACGACTTTGACGTTTTGCGAGTTAGTTTTCTCTCGCTCTTCGACATGTGCACATCGCGATTCTCTTTTCTAAACGCTAAAGCTTATAAATTAATATTTTCGGTAAGTGTATAATTATTTAAACGATATTTATTGCACGCGAGAAAGAATAGAGTAATATTTAAACAATAGTACATTTATTTAAACATTAAAACATCTGAATCGCGCGCGAGACTTAAAATAATTTCAATATAAATTTCTATTACTTAAAATTTATAATTCCGCAGTAGTTACCTCGTGTAATATAAACATACACGCACTTTTTCACGACTTTGACAGTTCGCCAGTTAGTTTTCTCTCGCTTTTCGACATGTGCACATCGCGATTCTCTTTCCTAAACGCTAAAGCTTATAAATTAATATTTTCGGTAAGTGTATAATTATTTAAACGATATTTATTGCACGCGAGAAAGAATAAAGTAATATTTAAACAATAGTACATTTATTTAAACATTAAAAAGTCTGAATCGCGCGCGAGACTTAAAATAATTTCAATATAAATTTCTATTACTTAAAATTTATAATTCCGCAGTAGTTACCTCGTGTAATATAAACATACACGCACTTTTTCACGACTTTGACAGTTCGCCAGTTAGTTTTCTCTCGCTTTTCGACATGTGCACATCGCGATTCTCTTTCCTAAACGCTAAAGCTTATAAATTAATATTTTCGGTAAGTGTATAATTATTTAAACGATATTTATTGCACGCGAGAAAGAATAGAGTAATATTTAAACAATAGTACATTTATTTAAACATTAAAAAGTCTGAATCGCGCGCGAGACTTAAAATAATTTCAATATAAATTTCTATTACTTAAAATTTATAATTCCGCAGTAGTTACCTCGTGTAATATAAACATACACGCACTTTTTCACGACTTTGACTGTTCGCCAGTTAGTTTTCTCTCGTTCTTCGACATGTGCACATCGCGATTCTCTTTTCTAAACGCTAAAGCTTATAAATTAATATTTTCGGTAAGTGTATAATTATTTAAACGATATTTATTGCACGCGAGAAAGAATAGAGTAATATTTAAACAATAGTACATTTATTTAAACATTA